AAGACTGACCATCCTTATGGCCATATGGAGGATGAGGTTCTCAACAAAATATCAAGAACACACCTTTGGCCTGATCCAAGTGAAGGAAGACATGCTGGAAGTCATCAGAGCAAACATAGTAAAGGCCAGCGCAAAACTCAAAGCGGACGGTGGGTCGTGGAGGATGTAATACACCCAGCCCAAATAGGGTTCATGACCGACAAAAACATATAAGAGTCTCAAAACATTTTGTTGGTGAACGAAGTGGTTAGTTTGGCACGTAGGAACTGGGCAAACGCGACTATCATTTTCATTGATTTTGAGAAAGCCTATGATCACGTAGACTAAGAGTTCTTCTACGCACATGGAGAAAACTCTCATTCCCCAACTATGCGGTACCGGAAAGGTGAGAGGAATTATTTAGGCAACCTCTGTTTGACAATAGGCTAATCACAGACTCCCTTGGCCAGGTAAGATGTAGCTCTGACCCCCCATGGAGGGGTGGGTGAAGCACGGGGTCCGGAGGGTGGGGGACCTTTGGGATGCGGCAACCGGGGAATGAAAAAATAAATGCTAGGATGCCTGAGGTATTGCCACGTAACAGAGTTGGCAATGGAAGAACTTATTGAAAACTTCCCCCTTCAATGGTACGCCACACTTAGGAAGGGCCCTACCCTGGGTAGGACTACCTGGTCACGGAACACAAGTAGGCCGGGTACACATGGTAGACAAACACAAGTGCTGATTGAGTGTCTTGCCACCACAGGGAAAGGCCTGCTACTAGGGAGCCGACAACCTTTTATTTGGAAAGAGACAAGGGAGGTCTATCGTAGTAGACTGATAGAAGAGCAAAGGGGATGGAGGGCTTATCGGCCAATGATCCCGATTGAGGACTTACCTTTCGATCCCGATGAGTGGAGATGGTTGTGGAAAGGTCGGGAAATACTGAAAAGGAGGGGGAAAGCGAAACCGGTAGCACTAGTTACCCTAAAAACTACGACAGTATATCGAATGCTCAGACCGAGGCGCAGACTGAGAGATGAGGTAGAGGACAGATAGCAACGACATCTCAACATAGACAGAGGCCTGCTCAAACCCATCCAGTGGTTTAGAGAGTATCAAAAGAGGCCGACCAAAATCCCTGCCTTACAATGGAAGATTGCCCATTGGTTCCTGCAGACCAACGACTGACTGATTGAACACACACAATGCGAACAGCAAGGAAGGGCGCTTCCCTAGTGCCGAGGATGCCTCCAGAACTTCCCCGGCAAAAAGCGCCCTGAGACAGTGGAGCACATCTTCCTGCAGTGCCCCACAGCTGTATTACTGTGGCGATGGTGGGACAGGATTTGGCGGCACATTGTATCGGGCTCATCCTGGCCATGGGACTGGAGGGCCATATTGTTGGGCCACTGCCCCCAGTTTCCAGGAAACACCTTTGAGGAGAACATGTACTCCTTGGGTAGGCGTTCCATCCTGTGGGTAATACGGTGGAGAAGATGCATTATGGAATTGGAAGGGGGCAGGGTGGAAGAGGGGGAAGTCACGGAGCAATTACGGCTACTAGTACAGCATGAGATCACGGCTCAATGGCAGACTATAACGGAAAAACTGAACCAGGCACACACCAGGGTGGACATCGACACGGTTCTGTGAAGAATGGCTGGGGGGGAGAAGGGAGGGCTGGGTGGCAAACGTGAGCTGGACAGGCGACAGGCTGGATCAGCGTCAGACCAGGCGGCAGGAACATCAACCGGAGCAGCTTAGGGAAGTGGGGTAGAGGTGGAAAGGGATTATGCGCTGCATTTCCACGCATGGACGAGGGTGGACCCCAGGGAACCGTTATGAATTCTTTCTTCCCAGGCTACCGACGACAGAGTTTCTCTTAAGGAAATACGCCCTGCACAGGAAATCCCCTGTAACCCAGGGCAATCAATGCTGGCAGGGTCCCTACCGTCTTCCCCTGAACATAACGCACCCTAAAAATGAATGTATCATGCTATATTTCCAGCCAGATACAGCCAAAGTAAGGGTGCGTTATGTTCGGGGGAAGACGGTAGTGTTCTAAAATGTTGTTACACATGTTTTTGATGTATTCAAGGGATGCTGGATCCAGTTTCCAGCAGGTGATGCTCCGCACCAATAGATGGTCCAGGAGCGGCCCACCAGGCAAAGCCTCAATCCCGGTGGTTCTCGTACCACCACTGGGATAGAGGCCTTGCGTAGGGGCCTTTTTTGAAAAAAAAAAAAAAAAAAAAAAAAAAAAAAAAAAAAAAAAAAAAAAAAGAAGAGGTGGCCAAATTAGTCATATACCCTACTACCGCATGCCTGAATTATGCTCATACTCAGCAGCCGCGGGACGGCAAGGGTCCATGTGGTGAGCATCAGCATAATTCTGTGGTTGGCACCCAAGGCCCGGCCCTGGCTGTGGGTACACCCACAATTTTGCCAGGCCGTTTCTGGGCATGGGCATAATTTTGTTGCCTGGAACTCAGGGCCTGCGGGACTGGGTATGCCTACAATTTGGCACAGGGGAAAAGACGGGTACTATGCAAAGTTGAAGGGGTTCCAGGTATAGATTCGGCGCTGGGACTGGGTATAGCGGGTATTCCCATCTTTGAATGGGGTACAGATGCAATTTTGCCCTCCCGTTCTCTCCACAACACAGATGGGAAAGGAGAAGACAGCACCTCTCCGCTGTGAAGAGAATAACATTGCCCTCATTCTTACGAAATCCCTCGCCCTCCTATCCTTGAGCTGCCCCCGTCGAGAGGAGCCCCCTTCCTCAACGACCCCAATTCAGGACAAGCACCCTAACAGACCACCGCTCCCTAAAGAACAAGCAGTTCCCACCCAAAGCCTGTCGTTGCAGAACGGCGGTCCCCCAACCCCTCTTCCAACCTTCTCCATGTTGGAAAAGTCCCCCGAGGACAACCCTAACACGGTAACCCTTTCTCTCCCTCACTTTTAACCGAAGTTTTAAGAACATAACATCTCTCCAGATTATTACACAGAAACAAGAAAGTCAAAACCAAGACCTACCTCTTTGACTTTGAATCGAACATTCAGAAAATTATTCTAAATAGAATCTCGAGATCAGGAAAAAATCAAGACCGTACGATCACTGTAGAATCAGAAATCAGAAATTAACCTACACAGCAGACATACAAATCAGCGAAACCCAGTCGGCAGTCAAACTTAGACAAAAACCTACGAATATAGATTTAGATATCCAAAAAGGATTTACGAAATCGACTCTCAAACTTTGGTGTGAGAATCGTTGGTCAAACCATTAAGAAGGAAATGTTTTGACAGATGTATTATTGAGAAGCGTTGCGAACATCACCTTGAGAAATCAATCCCGTTGTAGATTAGCAACTCGTATCGAGAGACTACTCTTGGAACCATCAGATTCAAAAATGGCTCAGAAAATGAAATGAGATAGTAATGATTAAGAAACCGAAATTCCAAAGATATGCTACGATGAAGGTGCGAAGATACAAGCAAAGTAGGAGTCAAAAGTCTTGAAAGAAAAACTGCCTACGATTTTGAAAATGTATTCCCATCTTTGAATGGGGTACAGATGCAATTTTGCCAAACAGCTATGGTAAAGGCTACACTTTTTTTTTTCATTTTTGTTGAAAAAGACACTTACAGCAAATTAACAATTGGCATGAAAAAGCAGTCTCTGCTGATGTTCATAGGGGCAGGGGTAATCTGGGAGGCACAGCCATTGGCCACTCAGATGATGCTCGGTCCCTCTGCTACCCCTTTTCCCTTGGCGGGTGTCCTCATTGGGGGTTCCCTGAAGGCAATAAGGCCACCCTGGGCTGAAAAGGCCAACCGGTGTCAGATCAGACACAAGATTGAATTTACCTGGGTTGGCTAGTCCGATGATAATACCTCAAGGCCATAGCCCT